AGAGAGAGGGAAGAGAGAGGGGGGAGAGGGAATAGAGAGAGGGAAAGAGAGAGGGGGGGGAGGGGGAAAGAGAGGGAAGAGAGAAAGAGGAGGAGAGAGGAGAGAGAGAGGGGGGGTGGAGAAAGAGAGAGAGAGTGGATGGCAAGAGAGAGGGAAGAGAGAGAGGGAGAGGGAGGAAGGCGAAGAGAGGGGGGAGATAGAGAAGAGGGGAAAGAGAGAGAGAGGGAGGAGAGGGGGAGAGAGGGAGGGGGAAGAGAGAGAGGGAAGAGAGAGAGAGGGGGAAGAGAGAGAGGGGGGAATAGAGAGAGAAATGGAAAGAGAGAGCGGGAAGAGAGAGAGGGGGAAGAGAGAGGGAGCGAAGAGAGAGAGAGAGGGAGGAAAGAGAGAAGAGAGAGGGGAAGATAGAGAGGAAGAAAGAGAGAGGGGGGGGAGAGACAGGAAAGGGGGAGTAGGGAACGCATTTTTATATGAGCTAGAAAATAAATAGCTCTGCAAAGTCCACATTATTAGGGGCTGATTTGAGAGCTCTCATCTATGGGTTTCCTGCTTAGGTGTATTTAACTCCTTCCCCTATTGGGGTTAAACAAATCTAAATGCCTAAGCACAATTTTACCAGGTTGACATGTGTTAGTAAAACCGTCCATATCATCACTACTTTGTACATCCAGGTGAATTATACCGTGTTTTTTTCAGGACAAATTGGGCTTTCATTTGGTGGTAAATGGTAATGGATATCTCCTGATTTTTTTTTTATTATCAAAGGAAAACTGGCCCAAAATAGTAAAAACTACATTTTTTTTTAATTTATCTGTGTGTTTCTTGATACTACCATAACCTACCACCAAAGAACAAACCTTTGACCCTGGCCTTTTGACCTTGACCTTTGACCCTTACCTTGGCCCAAACACTAACCCTGGCACTGAACTACATCAAACCTTGATCTAGGTATTTTTTTCTTTATGTTTTTATTTTATTTTTTAATATTTATTTATCTTTTTTTTTCTTTTTTTTAACAAACATTTTTTTTCTCTCTTTGCCAGGAGTTAGAGAGTTACAATGTATCTCTCTCCTCCATTCATAGAGAACAAAAAAAAAAGGGGGGGCGGGCTATACAGTGACTGATCACTATGATAGCCAATCAGAGGCTATCACAGCGATCATGTGACCTGGAATCAGGAGTCCCAGGTCCCAATCGATAGAATGGAACCCAGGGCTCTCAGTGACACTCCGGTCTTTGTGCTGGGAGCGCTCTGTGCAGCGCGAACCCAGCACAAAGACAGGTACGCAAATATGTGGCCCCCACGGAAAAAAAAACAAGTTCTGTGAGGTCGCATATTTGTGTGATGTCGGTGTCAAGGGGTTAAAACAGAAAAGGGCAAGAACTCCAAAAATGTGTCACACTGGCAAAGGGCAATAGCTTGGCCAGGAGAACTCCACCCAATGAACCATCAAATCTGCATGAGTTATTAGACATTTTTACAAGTTCAATTACTAAACTCTAAAGCAAATTCTGTTACTTAATGCAAATTCACTTGCAACGTGAGCAGCCTATTTGTTTTTAGTACATCAGCCCCAATGTGTCTTCTTTTAAGATGTCTCTCATTATTAAATAACAGTTTAAGGTGTATTTTCGTGTCATTGTTGCAGTTGTGGAGGAATTTGTTTTCTCCCTGTGTTGGAAAACTGGAACTGGTCACTCCATTTTTACTTGTCTACATCTTGAAACCAATGCTAAATTTTTTTGAATTGCTGACTTATTTAGAAAAATACAAAAGTGAGGGCAGAAAAAGACCGAGTGGTCCAACGAGTCTGACCATTTTTTGTTTTTATTTTGTTGTTTTTTTGGGGGGGAGGGGTGTTTTTTTTGTGTGTGTGTGTGTGTGTGGTTTTTTTTTTGTCTTGTTTTGTTTTAACTTTTTTTGTCTGAGAGTATAGATATATGCTTGTCCCAAGCATGTTTGCAGCTATTTACTGTTGACTGGCTCACTACCTCTGCTGGTAGTTTATTCCAAGCATCAACTACTCTTTCAGTAAAATAATACTTTCTGAGATTAGTTTTGAGCTTTCTTCCAGTTAGTTTAAGGTCATGTCCCCGTGTTCTTGATTTTGGTTTCATGTTGAACCTTATTCACCCCCTTGATGTGTTTTAAAGGTTTCAGTCATGTCTCCCCTTTCCCTTCTTTCCTCCAGACTGGACATTTAAGTTCCTGAAGTCACTCTTGATATGTCTTATCCCCCAGACCTTTCACCATTTTTGTTACCCATCTCTGGACTCGTTCTATCTTATCAATATCGTTTTGTAAGTGAGGTCTTTAGAACCAGACACAGTATTCTAAATGAGGTCTAACTAAAGATCTATATAGGGGAATCAGGACCTCCTTCCTCCTGCTGGTGACCCCTCTAGTGATATAAAGATCTATATAGAGGAATCAGGACCTCCTCCTCTTGCTGGTGACCCTCTCTAGTGATATAAAGATCTATATAGGGGAATCGGGACCTCCTTGCTCCTGCCGGTGACCCCTCTAGTGATATAAAGATCTATATAGGGGAATCAGGACCTCCTTCCTCCTGACAGTGACCCCTCTAGTGATATACTGGTGACCCCTCTAGTGATATAAAGATCTATATAGGGGAATCAGGACCTCATTCCTCCTGCTGTGGTGACCCCTCTAGTGATATAAAGATCTATATAGAGGAATCAGGACCTCCTTCCTCCTGCCGGTGACCCCTCTAGTGATATAAAGATCTATATAGAGGAATCAGGACCTCATTCCTCCTGCTGGTGACCCCTCTAGTGATATAAAGATCTATATAGAGGAATCAGGACCTCCTTCCTCCTGCCGGTGACCCCTCTAGTGATATAACGATCTATATAGGGGAATCAGGACCTTTTTCCTCCTGCTGGTGACCCCTCTAGTGATATAAAGATCTATATAGGGGAATCAGGACCTCATTCCTCCTGCTGGTGACCCCTCTAGTGATATAAAGATCTATATAGAGGAATCAGGACCTCCTTCCTCCTGCCGGTGACCCCTCTAGTGATGTAAAGATCTATATAGAGAGGATCAGGACCTCCTTCCTCCTCCTGCCGGTGACCCCTCTAGTGATATAACGATCTATATAGGGGAATCAGGACCTTTTTCCTCTGCTGGTGACCCCTCTAGTGATATAAAGATCTATATAGAGGAATCAGGATCTCCTTTCTCTTGCTGGTGACCCCTCTATGATATAAAGATCTATATAGGGGAATCAGGACCTCCTTCCTCCAGCTGGTGACCCCTTTAGTGATACAAAGATCTATATAGGGGAATCAGGACCTCCTTCCTCCTTCTGGTGACCCCTCTAGTGATATAAATATCTATATAGAGGAATCAGGACCTCCTTCCTCCTGCTGGTGACCCCTTTATCTAGTGATATAAAGATCTATATAGAGGAATCAGGACTTCTTTTCACCTGCTGGTGACCCTTCTAGTGATATAAAGATCTATATAGAGGAATCAGAAACCTCCTTCCACCTGCTGGTGACCCCTTTAGTGATACAAAGATCTATATAGGGGAATCAGGACCTCCTTCCTCCTTCTGGTGACCCTCTAATGATATAAAGATCTATATAGGGGAATCAGGACCTCCTTCCTCCTTCTGGTGACCCCTCTAATGATATAAAGATCTATATAGGGGAATCAGGACCTCCTTCCTCCTGCTGGTGACCCCTCTAGTGATATAAAGATCTATATAGAGGAATCAGGACCTTCTTCCTCTTGCTGGTGACCCCTCTAGTGATACATCTAAAGCAATATTCACTTTCCCCACTGCTTGGCCACACTGTTTGCTCATTTTGCAATCATCTGAAATAAGTACCCCAAACCCTTTTCCTCTGTACTGCTGGCCAACAATGTACCCCCAATGTTGTACTCTCTCAAGGGATTCTTTTTCTCTAGGTACATTATTTTAGAAACATTGAATTGCAATTTCCACTTTTTTGACCAATCTTCCAGGAATGCCAAATCAAGTTCCATGTTACAAACACCTCCAGGGATATCAACCCTATTGCATACCTTTATGTCATCAGCAAAAAGACATACCTTACCCAACTTACCTTTTTGTACAACTATTTGTAGTTTTTTCCCCTTTAAATGTTTCTGAATGCTAATGTGTCTCAATTTTCTTCTTCAGTGGCAAAAGGGAAGTGGAATGTTCCGCCAGAGCAAGGTTTAGAGTCCCGAGATCTAACACAAATGACAGAAATTGAGGAAAAAACAAAATATGTGTTGAACCAAGAAGAACAGGAAAAAACAAAAAAAGAGGAACATTTTCCTCTATCATACAAACAGAGACGACCAAGAAACACAGAAACCCTTTTCGCAAGAAGAAAAAAGTATTCTGTCATAGATCGGCACTTAAATAAACAATTAATTCATGCCAAAAGAGGTGCAGAACGGTTAGAGGAAAATGTTGCCCGCAGGTATTCACATAACATTGAAATCATAGCACAATCAGAAATTGAAGGCTCTGGAGTCATGGAATCAACAACACAGATGCCTACACAAATGTACACACCACCTGAAGGCTCTGGAGAAGTACCATCAACACCAAAGGAAATTACTGAAATATTCACAACACCTGTAGGCCCTGAAGGAACAACCACTGAAAAGTTTACAACACAAGAAGGGTCAGGAGAACAAGAGACAACATCAAATACAGATGCCTCAACCATCACCACAGGTATAATCACAAACAGTACTTTAACCCCTCGCCTACAGGGCACTTATACCCCCTTCCTGCCCAGTCCAGTTTTCAGCTTTCAGTGCTTATCACACTTTGAATGACAATTGCGCGGTCATGCAACATTGTACCCATATGACATTTTTACAATTTTTTTGAGACAGATAGTGCTTTCTTTTGGTGGTATTTAATCACATCTGTGTGTTTTTTATTTTTTGCTAAACAAACCAAAAACAACCGAAAATTTAGAAAAAAAAACGTTTTTTCTTAGTTTTTGTTATAAAATTTTGTAAATAAGTGGGTTTTTCTCTGTCACTGATGTGCGCTAATGAGGCTGCAGTGATGGACACTGATAGGTGGCACTGATAGGTGGCACTGATAGGCACTGATGAGGAGGCACTAGTAGGTGGCACTGATGGGCATTGACAGGCATCACTGATGGGCACTGAAAGGCACTGAAAGGCAGCACTCATATATGGTATTGATAGGCAGCGCTGGCTGGCACTGATAGGTGGCACTGACTGGCTCTTTTAGGCGGTACTGATAGGCAGCACTAACTGGCACTGATAGGCGGCACTGGCTGGCACTGATAGGTGGCACTGATTGGCACTGATAGGCGGCACTGACTGGCACTGATAGGTAGCACTGACTGGCTCTGTTAGGCGGCGCTGATAGGCAGCACTGACTGGCACTGATAGGCAGCACTGACTGGCACTGATAGGCAGCACTGACTGGCACTGATAGGTGGCACTGACTGGCACTGATAGGTGGCACTGACTGGCTCTGTTAGGCGGTGCTGATAGGCAGCACTGACTGGCACTGATAGGCGGCACTGACTGGCACTGATAGGTAGCACTGACTGGCACTTATAGGCAGCACTGACTGGCACTGATAGGGAGTAGTGTGTAGGGATGTCCCACTATACTAATATGTACGGTTCATAGGCTTTTATTGAGCTTTCAATTTTTTAGGGTTTTTTTTTATTGATATATCCATTTAGACAAGAGTAAATGATGACAAAATGGGTGCCTGGTATGTTACTGAAATAGTAAAAAGAGGTCCAAAGGTTAATTGACCAGCTTACTAAATCTACAGTAGCACAGAAGACTGGTTGGTCTCTAGTGACAATGAATAAATTAGAATATATATATATATATATATATATATATATATATAGTCATGGCCAAAAATATTGCACTGGAGGGTATTGAACTGGCCAGCAATGAGTCCGGATTTCAATCCATAGAGCACCTGTGGTGAGATATCAAAACAGCAGGTGTAAGAAACTCATTGACGGTTACAGGAAGCGATCGGTTTCAGTTATTTTTTCCAAGAGGTATACTACCAAATATTAAATTGAGGGTGCCAATAATTTTGTCCAGTCCATTTATGGAGTTTTGTGCCAGATTTGGCTTTTTCCACTATTTTGTGTCACACCAATATAAGCAAAAGAAATAAACATAAGAATCCTAAATATTTATAATTGCAACAATTTTCTGGGCGAAGTGGTGCATTATCTGACGGAAATACAGGGGTGCAACTACAGTGAAAAGCTAAACAGTAACATCAAATTTATTTTAAAAAAAAATTCTTGACCCAAAGATTGTTTTTTCTTGGCTAATGTGAATTTACTGTCTTTTTGGCTCTATTTTTCTGGCTTACATACAATATATATATTGTACATATAGTCATGGCCAAAAATATTGCACTGGAGGGTACTGAACTGGCCAGCAATGAGTCCAGATTTCAATCCCATAGAGCTCCTGTGGTGAGATATCAAAACGGCAGGTGTAAGAAACTCATTGATGGTTACAGGCAGCGATCGGTTTCAGTTATTTTTTCCAAGGGGTATACTACCAAATATTAAATTGAGGGTGCCAATAATTTTGTCCAGTCCATTTATGGAGTTTTGTGCCAGATTTGGCTTTTTGTTTCTCCACTTTTTTGTGTCACACCAATATAAACAAAAGAAATAAACACGAGAATCCTAAATATTTGCAATTGCAACAATTTTCTGGGCGAAGTGGTGCATTATCTGACGGAAATACAGGGGTGCAACTGCAGTGAAAATCTAAACAGTAACATCAAATTTGTTTTTTTTTTTTAATTTTTGACCCAGTGAAGATTGTTTTTTTCTTGGCTAATGTGAATTTTCTGTTTTTTTGGCTCTATTTTTCTGGCTTACATAGATATGGCCTGGACACAAGCTAAAATTGTGAGATTTTTTACCCATATCTATGCCAAAAAAGATGAACAATTGAATATCTAATTCTAGCCAAAATTTTAAAACAAAAAATGTTCTAACCCTAAATTAGCACATTTTGTAACCTCCACAGTAAATGTGTAAGGGTATTCATACATTACACATCTGAATCATGCTTTACTGAATTGTGTCCATTTAACAATTTGTCATTTGTTTCCCCCAGCCATTTGTCAAAATGGAGGTGCTCATGATGGACTTAAATGTATTTGTCCGGGAGACTTCTTTGGAGAACTTTGTGAAACTCCCTTAGGTGACAGAGTTTCTTATTGGTAAGTCCTTCCTAAATAGTTAAACTATTGGCATGTAAACAACAAACACATAGGGGATTATTTACTAAAACTTTAAAGTGTTTAATCTGGTGCAGCTCTGCATAGAATCCAATCAGCTTTCAGGTTTTATTGCCAAAGCTTAAGTGAACAAACTGAGGTTAAATTGAATACCGACTCTTTAAAATTTCCCATTGTATTTTTAATTCTGTGGAAATGAATAAAATACAGAAATAAAAAAAACACAACATTAATTTCTTTGCCCCCCCCCTTTTTTTTTATTACGTGTGCATTTTGTTTTTTATTAGTTTTTTTGTTATTTCCACAGAAAGAATAAACATTGCAACAAAGTAAAATAGAAAATTTAAAGAAAGGTGCACTTTTTTTTTATTTTTCCCAGAATAATGTTATTTACTATAATGTAAAGCACTGAGCAAAAACCATTAGCGCGCTATATAAATCCTGTATAATAATAAATAATATATAAATCTTTGTATAATAATAATAATAATATATAAATCCTGTATAATAATAATAATATATAAATCTTGTTTAATAATAATATATAAATCCTGTATAATAATAATATATATAAATCCTGTATATAATAATAATAATAATACGGTCCCTGATTTTTTTCTCTTGCTGTGGAAAAAAAATTATATATATATTATATATATATATATAATATTATTATAAAATTATATATTATAATAAAAAATTCACTTTGCAAAGCATCGTGAGAGCATTTACTAAAAGGTATATTTTTCCTTTAAAATTTTGCTTAAACTGAAAAAATGGTAGAATTAGAGTTACATTTTGTCAATCTCCTAGATTGTAAACTCGCAAGAGCAGGGCCCTCAATCCCCTCATTGTTTTGCATTGTATTGGTATTGTTCTGTCACATGTTCTGTCCCCCTTTGTAATGTACAGCGCTGAGCGAACTATTGGCGCTTTATAAATACTGTATAAATAATAATAATATTTTTGTAAAATTAGAAATTTTGCTGAAATGTTATTAATATAATATAATATATATATACTACACCGGTGCACAAAGTACTGACCACAACCCAATAGAACACCTTTGGGATGAATTAGAGCGGAGACTGCAAGCCAGGCCTTCTCGTCCGACATCAGTGCCTGACCTCACAAATGTGCTTCTGGGAAGAAAGGTCAAACATTCCCAGTCAAGTTTCTCTACCCCAAACTTGCTCCTCCATGTCTTTATGGACCTTGCTTTGTGCACTGGTGGGCAGTCATGTTGGAACAGGAAGGGCCATCCCCAAACTGTTCCCACAAAGTTGGGAGCATGAAATTGTCCAAAATGTCTTGGTATGCTTAAGAGTTCCCTTCACTGGAACTAGGGGGCCAAGCCCAACCCCTGAAAAACAATCCCACACCATAAACCCCCCCTCCACCAAACTTTACACTTGGCGCAATGCAGTCAGACAAGTTACCGTTCTCCTGGCAACTGTCAAACCCAGACATCAGATCCATCGGATTGTCAGACAGAAAAGCGTGATTGGTCACTCCAAAGAACACGTCTCCACTGCTCTAGAGTCCAGTGGCGGTGTGCTTTACACCACGGCATCCGACGCTTTGCATTGCACTTGGTGATGTAAGGTTTGGATGCAGCTGCTCGGCCATGGAAACCCATTCCATGAAGCTCTCTACACACTGTTGTTGTGCTAATCTGAAGGCCACATGAAGTTTGGAGGTCTCTTTAGCTATTGACTCTGCAGACAGTTGGTGACTTCTACGCACTGTGCTTTTCAGCATGAGCTGACCCCTCCCTGTCATGTTACGTGGCCTACCACTCGGCCGAGTTGCTGTTGATCCCAGTTGCTTCCACTTTGTTATAATCCCACTAACAGCTGACCGTGGAATATTTAGTAGCCAGGAAATGTCACGGATGGACTTATTGCACAGGTGACAACCTATCACAGGACCACGCTTGAAGTCACTGAGCTCCTGAGAGCAACCCATTCTTTCACAAATGTTTGTAGAAGCAGTCTGCATGTCTAGGAGCTTGATTATATACACCTGTGGCCATAGGTGATTGGAAAACTTGCATCCAATGGATTTGGATGGATGTCCCAATACTTTTGGCAATATAGTGTATTTTTTAAGTCTGGTCATCCTTGTTTGTGCATGTTTACTTTAAATGGAATTTATATTGCATTTTTAGTGAGTATCTGTTCTGAGCTATTTTGTAACCTATCTATCTATCTATCTATCTATCTATCTATCTATCTATCTATCTATCTATCTATCCCCTTGGCGATTTTTCCATGAATTCTCTTAGCAATTATTTTAAAAGGTAGGTTGCCAGGTCTTTCCCCAACCCCCCACCATGCAGGAGATCCCGCATGGCCAGGGATAAATTTGTAACCATTACCTGATGGTATTTTTTTATGTTTCCTATATAGTTTACATAGTTGCTGTTCCATCGTGTAATCCTCTTTTAGCTCTACTAAGCTCAAAACAGAGCCTGAATATGTAATAATCAAATATGGCCCTTGCAGTGTACATACCTTATTACAAATTATACATAGATAGGATTTTTACTGTACATATACCTATGTATTTAAAGAAAAAAAAAATCAATAATATTATACATAAACAATAGGTACCCTTTAAGAAAGATGTAGACATAATATAGGTATGTGTATGGGTATATTTGGACATTTATATTCATTGTTAACCCCGTATTCATCCTTCCTATAGGCAATACAGTGTCAGCAACAGTAACGGTGGAAATGAAAATCACTAACAGAGCTTATCGGCCTGAGTTCCAGAACCCATTATCTACTGTATATATAGAGTTTGAGATTGAATTTTAAAAAAGAGGTGAGAATTAATTGATATTTAATACCTCATTTGATTTATTTGTAAAGGGCAACTCAAAGAGCAATCATGCATATTATGGTATAATTATGGTGTACACTCGCCAGACACTTTATTAGTTACACCCGTTCAATTGCTTGGTAACACAAATTGCTAATCAGCCAATCACATGGCAGCAATTCAATGCATTTAGGCATTTAGACGTGGTGAGACAACTTGCTGAAGTTCAAACTAAGAATCCGAATGGAAAACAAAGGAAATTTAAGTTTCTTTGAACATGGCATGGTTGTTGTTTCAAAAACTGCTGATCTACTGGGATTTTCATGTACAACCATCTGTAGGGTTTACAGAGAATGGTCCGAAAAAGAGAAAATATCCA